AAAAAAACATGGGGTGTCCTTTTGCCATCATTTATTTTGAATTAATATAATTCCACTACTGGGTCCAGAGAGTTTTTAAATAATAAACAAATCAAGTATTAGTCTTCTTGCTTGTAGTGCAAAACATATAAACTGTAGTTTTAGACTTATGTTTCAAACAGAAGAATATGTTGTTAACTCTTAACAGTTTCCAGTCTTCTCACTTAACAAATGAACAGCAACAGAGCAGCAAGTGAAAACACTTCACCCTCTAGGGGGCGTCTCCTCCCGCTTTTCATTCAACCTTTATTTAGACAGGTAAATCCCATTGAGCCTCGAGGCTTTAAGGAGAGCTGACACAAAATGGCGACCAGTTTCCTCTGTGGCTTTGACCAGAGGGTCTCTCAGTGAAACCACACAGCACAGCGTTCTTTTCACAGATCAGAGAGCAGGTTTCTCTAAAGCTGACCAACGCTGACTTTAACTTTCTACGGAAAAAAAAACTTTAGACGGAACTCAGCGTTTGGTGCATGCGTCCGAATACGGCAACACTACGGCAAGCCGGTCGTAGTTAGCTTGTAGCTTCGCTACTTAGCTCTCGAAGAAAAGACTTTAACTTCACTTACGCACAGTTTTCAACTAAAAAAATTAACAATTAAATCTCAGCTTAGCTGCTTTTAACGATACAAAAACACGATTTTGGATCGTTAAAATGGATTTTAAAGAGAAAGAGAGGGGTCAGTGAAGCACCTGAGTTAGGAGTGCATGATAGAAACGGGACACGGTAGAAACGATAGAGATCCGTCTTCTAGCGGCTAACCTCAGTAACGCTGTGTCTGATGTAACATCAGAGTTATCAGATTTAAGAAGCTAAGCTAACAGGCCGACCTCGGGGAAAAAACCTCCGTCTTGTCGAAGCTCCAAAATTCACGGTTGAAACTCGTGCCTTTGTGTAAAAAGTTGTTTTCTGCAATAATAATCTGAGAACTTGTTTACTGATTTTTTTATATTAAAATCTTTGTGTGAAAAATGCTAAAGAGCTCAAACCACACTGAGCGTCCGCCATTTTGCGAACCGAAGAGAGACAGCCCGTGTCGCGTCAAGGGGCCTCCCTCCCATTTTTCTTAGAGACATGCTGCCCGCTCCCTCACTATCCATCCTTCAGTTCAAACAGTCTTATACTGCCA